CGAATTTTTTTTCAATTTAATTTGAACGAGTCAATTTCAAGCCGAACACGAGTGGAACACGAATATACTGTTTACGAGCTGATTTTGAACACGAGCTATTTTAAACGAGCCGAACACGAGCCAAGCCAAAGCTCGCTCAAGCTCGGCTCGTTTACAGCCCTAGTCATAGTGGTGATTCATCAGTTTTTCTTGGTCTTTGGCTTACCCTTAGGGATGAAATATTTTCTATATCAAGCAAACTTTATCCTGATATCGAAGAGGTCGATGATCTCGAAATATTGGTGTTGGACCTTGCCAAAGAGAGTGATGCACCTTCCATTTGGCCTTATGGAAATTCCTCTCTAGGTGTCTCCCTAACTGCTCAGCTTACAAAAGGGCTAATGGTGAGCTATATTCTTCTCCTGATATATGCTTGTTAGCGAGTTTCAATAATTTGGCTAATGTTTTTGGGTGTTATAAGCTAAATATGTAGCATAATGGTCCTTCCATTTGACCCTAAACTAGGGCGGCATGAAAGACTATGGGATTCAAATCATATGTAACTCCAATATCTCCTTATGAAAGTGAACCTCAAAAACATGTAAGGTTTTCTCATGCTCCCGACAAAGTCACAACAACACATGAGCTTTTGTGAGATTTTTGGACTCCAGCAAACTGCGTTACGAATATCTTCTTGAACCCTGCAAAGGAGGTAATTAATCCTAGTGACAAACTACTAAACCATCAGAGACTTGTCTTTAGATTTAAGAAAAAGAGTCGGCATTTCAAAACATCATTTATTTTCAACAAGCTTATGTTGAATTCGAAGGAGGTGATATGGTGGAAAGGGTCCGACCCCCCTTGACAGAGCTCCATGGATGAGATTCTGAAGCATTTGGCCACTTCAGCATTGAATATATCCTTGGAGAAGGCATTTTCCAATTGGTACGACCTTGAGGTTCCAACACCTCTTCGTCTGTTATGATCTAATGGGGTCAAACCGACACTATTTGGATAATGCAAATCATTTTCTCCCCCAAGATCTGGTGAATAGGTTCTCCTCTTTCGGTGTCAAGTTTGCCTCTTCGACGTGATGGGGCCGCTAGCCGAGATAGCAAGGTTGTTACTTGAACGAAGGTTATTTCGATCATCTTCATCATTTACTCCCTGAGCTCATCAATTTGTTGGGTGATAAATTCTCTAGTATATTCTATGTTGCTCGTGACCTCTCTTGGAGTATGGTTTATTTTTTTTCATTATGTAGCTCCTCTTCTTATTTGCGGCATGATTGGCACACACCACATCTTTTCAAAGTGTTAAATCATTGCTATCTGTGAATCACCTATAGAGAGATAAATAGAGGAGAGAGGAAGGCAACTGGAAGAGTTGAGTTATTGTAAGGATGAACATGGTTCCAACAACTAGAGATTAGATTAAAAAATGAGAATCCGTTTTGCATTTAATCCTCCCCCTTCATAAAGGGTGATTCCTATGTAAGAAAAAAATGTTGGTCATAATGATGTATGAAACCTTAGAGACATCTACTTGTCTTTCTGGTCACATTGCCATTAAACTTCAAGATTTTGGTAAAGTTTTTCTCCCTAAAGTTCATTGGTTGTCTGGCGGATGACCAATAATCATTGTTCTAAGCATTCAACCATTTATACTTGCATTCGACTTCCATATTCAACCCTTCATATTCAGCCATCTGCGCTTGACCCTTTGTATTTGGCCATCCGAACTCGACTGGTACTCATTAGAGTTTGGTGAAGCTACGTTGATCGCCTTCATCATCCTTGATTCGGCTTATCTCCTCAATAGCCCTAACCGGGTGAGGGGCCCGTCTAATTGAGTCCTTGCTCTTGTTGATTTGCCTGGCTACATTTTTTTTCTGTACAAAATGTAAATTATAGTTCATTTTCTTAACATTGAAATCTAACTTTTAATGTTATTTTGGATATTCCTGTAACAGATAATCTCGTAGAAATTTAGTTTTGCAAAGCTTCTCATCTTGTTGCCCTTTATGTGAAAATAGAATGAATACCAAATTAAAAAAAATCAAGTACATCATGTGGTCATTTGGATAATTGAAAATAAGTGATTATATCAAATCAAAAATAAATTATAAAATAATACCTCCTCATTTTAAGTCACATGGAATGTCAACATATATTGCCATAAAGACTAGGCAAAATAAATTTTTTAAAAAATAAAGAATCTGAGAAACAACAAAATTTGCATCCATACCCACACCCAATCACATGAACCTGATTAATCATCTTCTCAAAAATCCTACCATTCTTTTCTTCATAGTAACTTTCCTCCAGCACAAGCAACCTGGAATTCAGGGACATATTAGAATGAATATGAAAAATTCAAAATAGTAAATATATAGAAATACTCATAGTATGCCCTCTCACCCAAACCCACTCACAACGAAAATTCCCATAAAAAATTACAATCTTGCAGTCTAGGGTTGAAGTCTAAAGACAGCCACATCCCAACAAATCATAAATTCTATTTTTTTTTTTTGGAACTATACATCAAGACAGAATATACATCAAGACAGAATATTTACCATGCAATACCTTTTTATTTATTTATGTAATACTTAAATTTTGATATTCATATCTCACTTAAGGACACAATCGTGTCACATACATAAAAATGTGTATATTACTTTAAAAAAATTAATATTAGCGGTCTTTTTTAAGTAATGTTAAGGATTTGTGTATATAAATAAATATAAAAATTTAAATATTAAACATGTAAATGCATAAACATTAAATGGTATGGATGTAAATCCCCCTAAAATAAACTGAATCAAAGAGGTATTTGGATAAAGACCTTAAGGAGCAGAAGAGTCTAATTTGCAAGACAAATGACTAGAATTAGATATATTTTACAATAAAAAAAATAAAGCGAACAAAATAGAATTAAAACTTCATAATAGAGGCCATCATGACAAAAACAATTCAAGTACAAAAAAATTGTCAATCCATATATCAAACTCTCACTATAAGAGACTTTTTTTTTTAACTACAAAAGATTTCTTCAGTGTGCAAACTGTTAGATATGACTCATATACCATAAATAGACAGTGCTAAATCTGGAGCGGAGCAGAGCAGAAGATTTTGTCCAAATAAGGGGAGTTTCCTTATGTGGTTTGGGGTGTGGTACAGGGGTAATTTGATAATTACATATTGTACCCAAGGTTTCCTTCTTACGTGCTTTCTAGGGTTATAAATTAGGCTTGTATGTAACCCTAGGGATTATCCTTGAATCATTTATTCTGCAACCTCTTTTCTAAATTAGTGAAAGACCGCCGCTCTGCTCCCGAGGACGTAGGCATCTTTGCCGAACCTCGTTAAATCTCTGTGTTCTTCTGGATTTGTGTCGATCTTGTTTTTCTTCGCCCTAATTTCTCAACACAAACCCTACTCGCAACCAGTATAATTTTGTGAGGATAATAAGCTTAGATATGTATGTATATATATATATATATATATAATTGGATATAAAATGTAAGGATAAACTTAAAATTGTCAAATTTATTTTTACTTTTTCAGCTAAACTTTAGTGACAACTAATTTAGAATTTAGTGTTAAGAATATATCTCTAATTTGGATTTTTTTTAGTTTGAAAGAAAACCTTCTATCAACTATTCTAAAATGTGCTTGAATATTTTGATATAAGTTATTTTAGGAAAAAAACTTAAAAACTGTTAAATTTACTTAAAAATGGGTTTGAATACTTTGCTATAGTAATTATCAGCATAAACTTAAACTATAGCAAATTTAGGACATGTTCGACAACTTTATTGATTTTAATTATCAGGATTTCCAGATTCAGTAAATTCTGCAATGGATAAATCCAAAAGAAAGTTTGACATTGTTTCTAATAAATCAATTTAAATCCAATTAAATTATTTGACAACTTTTGTCAAAATTTTAAAGTACATCAAGTTTTTTAGAATACAAAAATGTAATTAAACTTCAATTATTTCATTATTAAGATAGAAATTAAGTATTAATTCTAATTAAATTTATTTTAATTTTTATCCCTAATTATGCTAATCAATAATTATATATTCACTCAATTAATTTATTATTAAAAAATTATTAAATTAATTATTTATTAAATAATAGTTTAACTTCTTTAGTTTATAATTAATTATTTACTATACTAATTAATAATTATTTCTTATTTTATTCAATAAATTATATTTTAATCTATAATTTTTTTATTAATTAAATAGTTACATGTAAATTTATCTAGTTATATTTAATTACTTATTAGTTATAAATTAATTAAATTAATAAAAAGTAACTTAAATAAAATTAAGTTAAAAACAAAAATTCGTTTTCTCCTGCCTGAAACCCTCACCTACATCCCTCCCCATCTCCAGGTTTCACCAAAAAATATTTACTTCACGATGCAGTCGTGATAGGGCTAGTTGGGAAGAGAGAAAAGATTGTCAAAATTTCCATCTTTCTCCTCCTTCCACTCCGATCCTACCAGAAACCATGGAGGAATGTAAGCAATATTTCTATTCCCACAAGCCTTTTTTCTCTTCCCGCGCTCCCAAATTTATGAAATCCATCAAATAGATGAATTTACTAAACTCGGAATTTACAGCAAGATTAGAAGAAATATGAATTTAGTAAATCCGGAGACTTAACTTGACCAAAGTGACAATCTGACAGAACTTAGCTTAAATCAAATCCCGCTCTAAATTCTTAACCAGACAACGCCTTAATTTTATATTAATACAATACAAATTCTTTATATAAAATACTAAACCCAAACTAAATTTAATTAGTTTATGTTCTATAACTTGATATATATAAACTCCACTGTACCCAAATAAAGCATTGTATTGCCTTTTCCAACTTTAGAAAAACTGGATGACAGATAACACGATATATAAATATTATTTAAAGAACACCAAAGTGAAAGCATTTGATCCAAAAAGCTGCCAGCTTCGTCCCATTGGAAAAATTATTCCTTCCGACGAAAAATTATTCTGTCCGACGACCACATGCGGTAGTGAATGAAAAATTAACACCAACGGGCCCTCAGTCAAGAGAAATAAGCAGAATGCATGACCCGACCTGAACTCCGGGTCACGCCATAAACATGCCTCAATTTAATTTTTTAAGTTGTGGAGCCCACTGGATCCAGGTGTCAACTTTCCATTGGACACTCGTCGCACTGCGCCCAAAAAGTTAAAACTCAAACCACACGATAACCGAAGCAAAATTCAGCCATTTCTCAAAAGAGATGGAACATTCATCAACCAACAAGTAACAATAATAAGTTGAGCAACCTTCTGCTCCCAACATAAATAAAATAAATAAATAATGTAAATGTATTTATGCCAATTGAGAGATAGAATGCGGGCCCCGCTCGAAAATTTTCTGCAAAAGGCCGCCGCTTCTCCCGCTAATCAATTTTTTTTTTTCATTTACTTTAAAGAAAAGATTAAAATTGTTATTCATTTTAGATTTTTGCACAAATCAACTAAAATCATTTTATGTATGATTTTTTAAGCGATGCTTCCACCCTAAACCCTAAATTTTTTACTTGAAATGTTTTTTGTTAATTCCTGATGAATGTAGGATTCACTCTTTCAGACTGAATCATACAAATTATGAGCACAATAAAAAATAATCATATTTTGAAAAAAAAAAAAATTATGGTGGAAAGCATTACTTTGTTTCTTAATGAATGAAAGATTATTAATCAGTCATTTCACATATTCTGATTCTTTCCATTTACTCCAAAATGAAGGTGCTAGAACTAACATATTTTCGTTGTAATTGTAAGAGGTTAAAAACATAAAAAACTGAACCCCAACAAAAATCAGATCATCCCAAGACAAAAAAGACAAAAAATCAGATCCATGAAAGAGATGAAAACCGACTCAAACGAGACCACTACAATGAAAGAATGAACGCAGTCGCTCACCGCGGATCCCGGCGATCAAAACCCCAAAGCACCCCGTAAATCCAGCCTCCTCGGCGGCAGAGCTCGCCAATACCCTCATCGTCCATCTCCGCCTTCCCCGCCACGGCGGAGCTCCAATCAAGCCGCGGAATCCTTCGAGTAACTTCAAGAACAGGAAGAAACAAGATTAGCTCGATCTCGCCCTCAAATGAACAGCGAGCTGAAGCTTTTCAAGTTTCTAAATGTAATTGAAAAGAGATTGAGGAGAAGGTGAGTGGGAAGTTGGGAGCGTGTTCTCGGCTTTCGCCGGAGAAGAAAGCTGTCTACGGCAAAAATGGCTTTGGGCTCTGAGTAATATTTGTAGGAATGTGAGGTTTTGGAGGGAGAATTTGGAGAGGAAGTTGGAGAGGCGAGAGTAAACATATAATTGTGGAGTAGGGGTCCGCTTCCGGTCCGTGACCGGCGGCAGCCAGTAAGAAGTATCGGTCGCTATGATTTGATTTAGAGAATCCGAGTTTAAAATTCCTCGAAGGAAAAATTGGTATATTACTAATTTTTTTATTTATAAAATATATTTTATTAAGTTGAATATGATATATAATTAATAAACTAACTTTTTAATACCGATTTATCTTAAAAATAAATTTATTAAATAAAAAAATTATTATGATTAAATTTGACATTAAATATGCCACATAAAATTTATTTTAAAGTTTTTATGCGTTCAAATGTAAATATAAACATATATTTATGCAAGCTTCACTCTCACTTTTGTGAAAAAATATTACGTTCAGCGTCAGCATGTTTGGATGGCCAACCGTCAGGCGTCACGTCGGTCGACACCGACGTGTATGACGATTTAGAACCCTGTAGTTAGCTGTCCGGAAGAGAAAATATACGTACGCAGCGCTGCGTACCTCCAGGGGTTATTCATGGGGAACAGGGGGGTCATATCGGGGTTACACCCCTCTGTAACCCTCTGTAACCTTTTTGTAAACTACTTGTAATCTACAAATGAGTTTCGCGTTTATGTAGTTTCATGATTACAAATAAGTTACACGAAGGTTATAAGGGAGTTACACAGAGGTTACATGGGGGTATAACCCGGATATAACCCTCATGTACCCCTAGAATAACCTCTGACGTACGCAACGCTGCGTACGTCTTATGTATGCAAATATTGTCAGTCCGGAAGTGTGATGCATGGACCTAAAATTTTCTTTACTCTTGTTGGTGCCAAAATTCTAAAAGACGAAGGAGACACTCAAGTTAATATCCCAAAAACAAAAAAATAAAAAAAAAGAAATAATAAAAAAAATAAATAAACTTTCAATGCAAGCATGAATTTCGATGTGAGCATATATCGCTTTTAAATTTTTGTGCATTTACATATAATTAAGATTTTAAAATCGGATCAAGCATTGTATCATTAGTGGAGTGGTTTGAAGGTCCATGGTTCAGCTGAATTAAGCCAAATAATATAATACATACCAATTTTATTTTAATATAGTTTAAATTAGGGCTGTCAAAGCATCTCGTTGTTCGCGAATAGCTCGTGTTCAACTCGTTCGCTAAGTTAACGAGCCAAACACGAACAACATGAACAAATATTTGTTCGTTTGTGTTCGGCTCGTTTTGGCTCGAAATACTACTAATCAATTATAATATATCTTTGATGAGTAGTATTTTAAAAAAAAAATAATTGACTACAAGGCTACAAAGATTTATAATCACTTAAAAGTATTAATGAAATAAAAAAGAATAAAAATTATTAAATTAGATTCAAATGATGTTTTAAATCTTGTCTCAATTCATAACATCTTATGGCCATGTGATTAGGGTTGTCACAACGACTCTTTGTTCGTGAAAGGTTCGTGTTCGACTCGCTAAGCAAACGAGCCGAACACGAACATAACTTTTGAGCTCGAAATATAAACGAGCCGAACACGAGCTGAGCCAGTGACGTGTTTACACCCCTAATTTAAATAATGTAATCATTTAAAATAATAATATCATCATTAATTCACATACGATATCTTAAATTATCATAGTTTTCTCTTCAATGTTTTGAATATGAATCTAAAGTAAAATTTTAAGACTTAATATTTATTTATTCATTCATTTTATTTTCAACCAAAACCTTTTTTTTTATATCTAGCCATAAATTAAAAATAAAAAATATCTAAATTGATCAATATTAAAATTAATTGGTTCTTTAAGATTTGGGTTGGCTCCTGGATCAACGGCCATTTTTTGTTGATTCCATGGGAAAAAAAGGTTTTGGGCATTCATGAATTTTGGTGAAAGGCCGGCTCACGACGAGTCACGAACTCGTCAGTTTTAAAATCTTGCATATAACAGATGTACGCTGAAAAATCATATTTTCATATATTTCAATTCAAAATATTTAATTCTTGCATCCTTTAAATAATAAAAGTATTTTATTTGCCATTGTTTGAAAAAAAAAAAAAATCAAATTCTATAATTGGAATTGGCAACTCATGAGAATTTATTCCGCACATAACTAAAAAACAACATTAACTCATAATTATGAATCCTTCTATGACGTCGTCGGGGAAGACTTTATTGGGTAATGTAGATATCCGGTCCACCGAATTTAATTAGCTTCTTAATTAAATATCTCACATACATCCCACCTACCACATCCCACCTACCGCTCACCTACCTCCCACCTACCGCTCTCATGGTTTCTATAAATAGTTTCTTTTGGTTTAATGCAAGCCAAGCAAGTCAAGGAAGATCAAACCAAGTCATCTTGAGAGCTAAGAGAAATTGAGGAAGAGAGAGGGAGAGGAAGGGAGAGAAAAAAATAGAAATTTTCTTGTAAACGTCGAGGTGCTCGACGGTGTAATTTCTAGAATAAATAAATCCTCTGCAGCTCCGTAGACATAGGCAAATTTATCGAACCACATAAATCTGTGTATCGCTCTGGTGTTTTTTTCTGCGTGCAATTTTTCTCGTTCCAATTTTTCGTTTTATTGTAGTCTTTTTTTTCACAACAACTGATGTAAGAGCTTTGGTTCGAATCTAAGGAAGAACGATGGGCGAAGACAAAGTGATGACATCGGGGATCGAGAAGTTCAATGATACAGATTTTGTTTACTGGAGGATGCAAATAGAGGACTGCCTCTATGAGAAGAAACTTCATCTTCCGTTATTAGGAAAATGACCAGAAAAAATTGACGAGGCGGAATGGAATTTGTTGGATCGACATGTTCTTAGGGTTATACGATTAACCCTGTCGAAATCGGTTGCCTACAACGTCATCAAGGAGAGGACTAATGCAGATCTCATGGCAGCTTTATCAGGTATGTATGAAAAACCATCGACGAATAACAATATACATTTGATGAAAAAGTTATTCAATTTGAAGATGGTGGAAGGTGTCTCTGTTGCTCAATACCTGAATGATTTCAATACTATCACAAATTAATTATCGTCTGTTGAAATTGATTTTGATGATGAGATACATGCACTAATATTGTTGGCTTTATTGCCAAATAGCTGGAAAGCCATGAGAATGACAGTTAGCAGTTCTGTAGGTAAATCCAAGCTGAAATATGATGATATTCGTGATTTGATTTTGATTGAGGAGGTGAGCAGAAAGGATTCTAGCGATGCCTCATGTTCAAGTTCGGCGCTGAATGTTGATTCTAGAGGGAGATCACATGACATGAACTCAAACAGAAGAAGATCAAAATCAAAGTCAGGTCAGCAGACAAAGTCATCAAAGTCAGGTCAGCAGACAACCTGCTGGAATTGTGGCAAGGCTGACAACATAAAAAGGAACTGTATGAATCCTAAGAAGAAGGAGAATGATGGCGCTAATGTTGTAACTGAAGAAATACGTGATGCATTATTGCTAGCAGTTCACAATTCAGTTGATGACTGAATACTGGATTCAGAGGCTTCCTTCCATACATCTTCCTGCCGGGAGTTAATGCGAATTTATGTTGCACGTAATTTTGGGAAGGTGCATCTGACTGATGGAAAAGCTCTGGACATGGTGGGGATGTGAGACGTTGATATTGCACTCCCTAATAAAATCAAATGAACATTGCAAAAGGTCAGACACATTCCTGAGTTGAAGAAAAACCTTATCTCTGTTGGGCAACTCAATGAGGGTGGTCATTCAGTGGTGTTCTCAGATAGCACCTGGAAAGTTACCAAAGGAGCATTAGTAATGGCTTGGGTAAGAAAATTGACACACTATATATGACTACAGGTTTACTCAGACGTGGACACATGAGTCAGAGGTGCATTATGGGGAAGCAGAAGAAGGTCCATTTCCTGAAAAGTGGAAGAGCACCAACGGCAGGAAAAACAGATCTTGTACAGACAAATGGTGGAGAAACATAGAGTAATTAAGAAATCTTGCAAGATAAGAATTCGAGCGAGTGAGAACCAATCAAGAAGGAGGAAACAGATTCCCTACCAGGGAATCAGAGTTGGGAGCTGGCAGAACTTCCACCAAGGAAGAAGACATTGCACAACAAGTGGGTGTACTGGGTGAAAACTGCGCTTGGTGGGCAGTAAGAGGTACAAGACTGGACTTGTTGAAAAGGGCTTTAAGCAGGGGCAGGATATTGCTCATGTAGTGGGAGTTGTAAGCAGATACAAGAGTAACCCAGGAAAGAGCTTGGTGGTACGAGGCTACGTTGACAGTGATATTTCAACTGAGGGTGTTACTCGTGAGAAACTGAAGTTGTGCTCAACTTCAGCTGGTCTTCTGACATGAAGACAGGGGCTTTGAGTTGTAGTGGTGGATGATATCATGTTTAAGGAAAAGGTCGGTACAACTAGTAGATGATGCAGCTAGTAGGTGATGCATTCAGTGTCCCAGTCTCAAAGTGGGAGAATTGTTGGGTAATGTGGAGACCCGGTCCACCAAATTTAATTAGCTTCTTAATTAAGTATCCCACCTACCGCTCACCTACCACATCCCACCTACCGCTCACCTATCTCCCACCTACCGCTCTCATGGTTTCTATAAATAGTCTCTTTTGGTTTAATGCAAACCAAGTCATCTTGAGAGCTAAGAGAAATTGAGGAAGAGAGAGAGAGAGAGAAGAAAGAGAGAGAAGAAAATAGAGATGAGAAGAAAATAGAGATTTTCTTGTAAACGTCGAGGCGCTCGACGGTGTAATTTCTCAAAGAAATAAATCCTCTACAGCTCTGTTGACGTAGACAAATTTGTCGAACCACGTAAATCTGTGAGTCGCTCTAGTGTTTTTTTCTGTGCACAATTTTCTCCTTCCAATTTTTCGCTTTATTGTCATCATTTTTTTTCACAACAGACTTATGAAGAAAGAGGTGAAGAAGGATGAATTTGTGCTCCCAAGGCTTAGCTTCTAGTCTTTATGAGGGAGAGGGAAGGAGTGAATTCAAATTCAGGAGTTTGTGTCCCCATCCATTTTTCTCCACTTCCCCTGAAG